TCTGGGGCTCAAGTGATCCTCCTGCCTCAGTCTCCTGAGTAGCTGGGACTATGGTGCACACCTACATGCTCAGCTCTAATTTAAATTTTAAAACAGGGCACATTTTCAATGGAAAATAGTATAACAGGAACAGAACTAAAAACTGACCTTCGTGTGGATGTGAGATAATTAAAAAGATGTGAGAGGATCTGATATTAGAGAGTGAAATAAGAACCTGGCAAAAAGGAAGCTTCAAGGAAGAGGGTGATCAGCATAAACACGGTCTTCTGTAAGTGTGCATTCCACCCTGTGCTGTGGCAGGTAAATTACAGTAATGTTCACTTTGGCAGCAACACAAGCAGTGCAGTGGGAGTTCTAAAGTGCTTTTAAGTGGATCAGAGATACTTCTTAAATAGGAGTTTCTAAAATACCTGCCTTAGAAAATGTGATGGCAACTTCTCTCTGCCTCAGTTTCTGCATCATAAATTAGAGATCACTTTACTTCAAGTGTAATGAGTTCCTTTCACAACCTCACTTTAAGGAATGTGATTTTTGCTACCCTAACATGACTGAATGGGAAATGTACACTGAGGTAACGGATGTGCCTACTTTCACAGGTAAACAGCCCCCCTTAAAAGTGTTTTTAAAAATTAAGTTCAGAAACAAAAAATTAAGTAAGACATATCTTCTATGGTAGAGAAACTAATCAAGAAAACATCTAGCTGGGCGTGGTGACGCATGCCTGTAATCCCAGCACTTGGGAGGCTGAGGCAGGAGGATTGTTATGAGTTTGAGACCAGCCTGGGCTACAAAGTGAGCTCAAGGCCAGCCTGAACTGCATAGCAAGACCCTGTCTCAGAAAGACAAAAACAAAAAACAAAAACACATCTAAAAGTGGGGTTGGGCGAGGTAGATTCTAAACCCTTTATTTCAAGTCCTGTGGCTGGGAGTCACACTAGTTTATGTTAAGGAGGAAGCTATTTAAGTTTGCCAATACTGTATTTTTCTTATTTTAATTTTTTTGAGACAGGGCCTTGCTATGTAGTTCAGGCTGGCGTTGAATTCACTATGTAGCCCAGGCTGGCCTTGAACCCATAACGATCCTCTTGCGTCAGCCTCTTGAGTGCTGGGATTGCGTGTGTGTGCCACCACCCTTGGCCACTTGCTAATACTTTATATCCCCTCTTCTGTATAGGAGAGCTTCTCAAAGGTGGATTTTTAGTTCCCACCTCTAACCAGACTCAATAGTATGCCTGGTCAACCTTGTGGCCCCAGGCATGGAACTTCTGGGCGGTGCTGCAGGCAAAGGAGCGGAAGAAAAGGCTGCAGTTTTTACAGGACTGCAGAGGGCCTAGAAGCCAACTGGTCTAACTTACCATCACGTTTCACAGATGAAGAAATTGAGGCCCAGAGAGAAATGCTGTGTTCAAGTCATTGCCAGTAAGTACTAGAGGCTGGGTTTGAACCAAATGTCTTTCCTCTCTGGCATCCCTCTTCCTTCAGCTGGAAAGAGAACTGCGGGGAAGGAGGCCCTCAGGGCCTCCTCTGCCCAGCAGTGAAGTGGAGCATGTTTGGATTAATACACTTTGGGGGGACGTAACTGTCAGCACAGTGTGTTTGTAGTTCTGCTTCACATTTAGGTAGATGAGACTTTGCGTTCTGAAAACACAGTCTCACACTTTAAACCCGAGTGTATGGAAATCAGTAGGCAGAAACACAGCGGTCCCTCTTTATTTGACTTTCCAAGTTTCAATTATCCACTATGAACTCTGACCCAGAATATTAAGTAAAAATTCTGTGAGTAAACAGTTCATCAACTGCAACTTCCATGCCATTCTGAGCGTCACGATGAAATCTGCTGTCTTGCTCTGTCCTGACCAGAACGTAAATCGCCTCTTTGTCTCGCATATCGATGCTATCTAGCTCCCTGCCCAGTGGTCACTTAGCCATCTTGGTTATCAGACCCACGCTGTGGGATCACCGTGCTTATGCCAAAATAACCCTCATTTTACTTAATAATGGCTCCAAAGCAGTGATGCTGGCAATTCAGCTATGCCGAAGAGATGCTGTAAACCCAGGGTTTCCTTTAAGTGGAAAGGTGAAAATACAGGGAGATATTTTGAAAGAGACTATGTTCTTGGGGCTGGGAATTTAACTCAGCGGCACAGTGCCTGCCTGGCAAGCGCAATGTTGTGAGTTCGATTCCCGGTACTGGGAAAAAACCAAAGGAAAAAAAGACTATGTTCACATATTTTTTATTATGGCATATCATTATGATTGTTCTAATTATTGTTTTTAATCTCTTACTGTACCTAATTTATAATTAAATTATTATGGGTATGTATGCATAGGGAAAAACAGTATATACAGATACCCCTCTGTTTATGACAGAATTACATTGTGGAAGACCCAAGGTAAGTTTAAAATATTGCAAGGTAAAAATGCACCGAATGCACTTAGGCTAGCCGTCGCCAGAACTTAGCAATGAATAGCTATGTAAGGAGCACAGGTTGTTTCCCTTCCTGATCCCGTGGCTGACTGGGAGCTGTGCTTCCCTGATGCCGCCCAGATGGATGAGACGGGATCACACCACACATCACTAGCCCAGGAAAAGAGAAATATTTAAACTTTGAAATACAGTTTCTAGGCTATTTATTTTCACACCACCTTAAGGTCCAAAAATTGTAATTTGAACTATTGCAATCTTGGCCCATCGGTGCTATCAAGGTTTCAGGCATCCTCCGAGGACACTGAAACTACCGTAAACACTGCACCCTTTACGAGAGAACATTCACTTGCAACTCAGAATAATTTTTCTTGCGTATAACTTCCTTACAGTTGTCACTCATATACTGAGAACTTTTATAGGCTAAAATGAAGAGGCACGTAGAGGCTTTATGTTAACACTGGATTCTCTGGCATAAACAGAAGGAAGAGAACCTCATTAAGAGAACAGTGCAAGATCCTATTTCCTACAATGCTGTCTGCTTTAATAGCTTCAGAGTTACAGAAAATGATGTTTTCCCCAATCTTGTCTATGGAGCTCTGAAATTATGGTTAGCATCCTAGTACACAGCAGTATTTAACGTCTCACTAAAATGTTTTATCTTGCTGTATTATTTTTAATGGCTATTTAAGTATTACTAATTTTAATGGCTATTTTTATTACACTTATGCCTCCCCCTTGTGGACAAGATATGTAAGGATCTGAGTTGAAGGGCTCAAACCTCGAAGCATTTCATACACATCTATCCATGAAGCTGGCCTTGAGAAATCAGCCTGTCATCTACCTCTTCATCTTTGGAGGTTCTGGTATATGCATTTGCTAATTCAATATGCTGCTGATATTTAAAATATTCCTACCTAACGCAAGTATCAAAGCAAAGGCCAACCAAAGCAGAATCTGCAATCAGTTATTTAGATGATAAAAATCACAATGTGTAATATAGTAAATTAGGTACAGTAAGAGAAAAATAATAATTAGAACAATCATAATGACATGCCACAATAAAAAGTGTGTGAACATAGTCTCTTTCAAAATATCTCCCTGTGCTTTCACCTTTCCCCTTAAAGGAAGCCCTGGTTTACGGCATCTCTTTGGCATAGCTGAATTGCCAGTACCACTGTTTTTGAGCCATTATTAAGTGAAATGAGGGTTATTTGGGCACAAATGGCTTTTTTGTGTATTTTATATGATTGTCCAAAAAAGTGAAGTCCTTGATGAAGTACAATCTTTGCTTTTAGTTACCATTTTCACCAAGTGTTTTTATGCATATTAAACCAGTCAACTAATATTTCTTTAATAAACTACTTTACAGTTGGTTTTCCATATCCACTGGTTCTGCGTACTCACATTCAACTAACCATGGATTGAAAATATTCAAAAACAATTGCATCTGTACCAAACATGTTTAGATTTTTTGCTCTTCATTCCCTAAACAATACAGTGTGGTCACTATGTACATACCATTCACATTGTATTAGACATTTTAAGTAATCTAAAGATGATTTCAAGTGTGTGGGGAGGGTGTATGTAGGTTATTTGCGAAGACTGTGCTACTTTATATAAGAGTTTTGAGCATCTGTGGATTTTGGCATCTTCCAGGACTCCTGGAATCAGTCAATCTCCCATAGATGCTGAGGGACAACTGTGTTTAGTACAGATTTGTTAAGGAATTGGTGGGGCAGAGCCAATTATTTATATGTGTTGGTTGCTTTACAAATTGAAACTAGATGTAGATTAGTCCAGTAAGAGTAGGCTACATATTGGTATAAGTTTCTTTTGAAAAGGAAGGAAGGTCAAGAAGGCCAGTCATCTCTTTGTAGCTTATTCTAGGCAACAACCCTTTACCTAACCCCCTGTCATGGGTGGTGGTGACAGTGGCTTTCCTAGGCTTTTTCATCAGGTTCTAACTATAAAAAATACCCAGCAAGAAGAGGTTAGGCATTCGTCCCTCACCTAGCCTTACTGCTCTGAAGATAGAGTGATGAGCAGAATGGGCTTACGTTTAGATGTCCCCTCAAAGCCTCATGAGGTCACAGGTGTGGCTTTTTCAGAAGTGGCTTTTGATCTAGAGTGTGTGATGCTTGGATTGATCCATGGTGAAGTGCTAGGATCAAGGGCACTAGGTTAAGAGTGTGAGTGTTACCCATCCTAAGTAGCCTGGATACGATATAAGGGATAGAAAGTGCTGTGGTCATCTCTTGCTTGCTTTGCTGCCTTCTGCCTGCTATGAACTGTTTCTCCTCTGCGACGCCGGTCTGCCGGCAGCCTTAGAGCCAGCCAATTACGGACTGAATCCTGTACAAACTGTGAGCTAAATATACCTTTTTCCATTTACCTTTGGGTCTTGGGTATTTTGTCTCAGCAATGAGAGAAAACTAACTAAGACAGTGATAGAGTACAGGAACCAAAAAGAAAGCACTCTCTTCTTATTCTCTTCCTGGCCACCCCAGGGCCCCCAACCCCTTGCGCCCTGATTCTGAGTTGTGAGAACACAATCTCCACAGCTCACACTTACTTGGCAGCAGCATCTTTTCTCAACTGTTCATGCTTCATTAGGAGGTTCTTCCGGTCTCGGAAAGCTTTCCTGACCTTGTACCCTTTGTAGACAGCTTGGATTTTGAAGGCAGCGATGTCTTGTATGGCTGCAATGGACAAGGCACCATGCTCCAGCATGAACTGAATCACTTCGTGGCGCTCACCAAGCAAAGCATAATCAAGGGGTGTGTACCTGGAGCAGGTGGAAGAGTTTTTAAAAATGTAATATGCTTCATGGCACAGTTAAGCAATATTATTATGTAGCAGAAAGAAGCCTCACTCTGAGATGAGGATTTTCCCCGTGCAAAACCACGCTTTTGAGTCCAGGGCCAATCCTGTTTCCTCAGTAGAGTAAAAAACAACCAGAATAAAACAAGGTTGAGTACGACTGGTGGTCGGGTGCTTTCTGCTACTAACCATGTCTATTTGTTCCCTGGCTCACAAGCTGGGGGTTTTTGGGGAACACAAGGTCATTTTCCATCTTTCCCATGTGCCAAATAATTCCCAGTTTCACTGCAAATCATATTTTGTGAGATTCTTAAATTTGAGCCCACAGTTATTGATAGTTACTGCTCATGAAATAAAAAATATACCTCCAAATGTGCCGTTTTAGTGTACAATTAGGATGACCCTTTAAATCACACAGAAAAGATATGTCATTAATAAATGATGTTGGTAAAACCAGGTAGCCAGCTGGGTTAAAAGAGATTCTCATATCTCATACCAAAGTAAATTTTTCATGGAGCAAATATCCAAATATAAAAAGGAAACTATGAAGGTGCTAGAAGGTATCATGGAAGATTAAAAACTGTTGAAGTGGGAAGTCCTTTCTATGAAAAGATGTGAAACTCAGAAACCATAAAACAGACTGATAAATCTGAATACATAAAAATAAGAAAAAATTTCAGGGTAAAAATAACCAAGTTTTCCTTTTAAAAAAAGAAAATAATTACTTTATGAAAATGATTTATATTTTAAGAATTCAAACAGTGAATAAAAGTATGAAAATGAATTAAAAAATAAGCTCCCGATCATAGTAACGGTGACTGTCACTTCTCCAACAATTTACTTGATGTTTCTAAGCCCCAGCTTCCCTTTTCTGTTAAACACGTTAATACACAGAAGACGCAATAATGAATAGAAAGAAGACTGCCTTATGCCCGGCACAAAGGAAACAATTAATAAATGTCAGTTATTACTGTCGTTTATTATTGTAGGGACTACGCTGCGGCATACTCCAGCATGCCGCAGTTGCTGATCATAGGCCGGATCACTGCAAGACCCGAACCGTGATTGCCACTGGTGCTGCGTCCTCTCCGGGTGACCACGACTAGTCAGCGCAATCAGAAGCAGGAGGAGGAAACCATCGGCTGACTTATGAGGTGGGAAAAAAATGACGATTAGAGGGATGCATGATTAGACTCAGAAAATCATACAACAATTACAGAAAAACAAAAGTAACCCCACTTTAAAGCGTACATAACAGTCACAGTGAGACAAAGGTAAGAGGCTTTCAGAACAAGGATGGCTTGGTGACTGCAGCTGGGAAACCTTGAGTCCAGAGTCCCAAGGGCTGAAATCAACAAACCCTCACAGCTGAATTTGCCGCTACTGTTCAGGGCTCAGAAGGCCACCAGTAAACAGGCCTGTACAAGCTTCCAAACATCATTTATAAGTGGAGGGTAGTTTGTGTATTGAGAAGAATTTTTTAAAAATTTACTATTTATTATAAAATGCCTTTCATGATAGCACTTTCAATAATGGAAAATATTATTATAAAGTCATTGAATCACACTGTAGTAAAGCCAACTTGACTTTCAGAGGTCATTAAGTTCAACACAATTGTTTTATAAGTGATATAAACAGATTCAGTACGGTTGAGGACCTTGCTGATAATTACGTAGCTCCTTTCTACAGAGTGCAGATTACAATTAGTCACACTGACTCCCAGTTTAGTAATCCTTCCATAGGATCTTTATCAATTGTTGAGTATAAGTTTCTCATAAAATGAAATTGCTTCTAAAGTGAATGTTCACCTGGGCATGGTGGCACATGCCTGTAATCCCACTCAGGAGACTGAAGAAGGATTGCTGTGAGTTCAAGGCCAGCCTGAACTACATAGCAAGACTCTGTCTCAAAAACTGAAAAACAAAACACACGAACAAAAAACTTTACCAGCTATTCATTAAAGAACTATCTAGAATATATAAAAGACCTAATCAAAAAACAGAACTGAAATAGTCAGATACTTCTCAGGAGAGATACATGTATCCAATAAATACATGAAAAAATCTTCACTATCTCTGACCATTTGAGAAATGCAAATTAAAACAACACTGAGATTCCAACATACTTCAGAAAGAATGGCTATCATCAAGAAAGCAAATAATAACAAATGCTCACAAGGCTGTAGGGAAAAAGGAACTCTTCTACATTGTTGGTGGGAATCTCAACTACTACAATCATTATGGAAATCAATATAGAGAGTCCTCAAAAAACTAAAACTAGAAATTCCATTCAACTCATCTATTTACTATCTAGGTATCTTCCTGTAAAAAGTTAAAGACATCATATTACTGTGACACATGCATACCCATGTTTATAGCAGCACAATTCATAATAGCTAAATTTTAGAAGCAGTCTATATATATCTACCAGATGAATGGATAAAGAAAATGTGGTATTTATACACAATGGAGTATTACTCTGCCATAAAGAAGGATAAATCTGGGTCACTTATAGGAAAAATTGATGCACCTTGAGACCATAACATAAAGTAAAATAAGTCAGACACACAAGGTTAAATATCACATGGTTTCTCTTATATGAGAAACCTGAAATACAAATAGAGAGCAAAATAAGAGATAGATAATAGGAAACAGGGAGATAGACCTTTTGCAAATGGAAGGGGACTAAGAGATGAAGGGAGAGAAGAGCAAGAGGACAAAAAAGAATGAAGATGTGTTATGTACATCACCAACTCCCACAAGGAATACAGTCATTATGTGAACAAATATGTATAGATGCTCCTCGCTTAACAGCTGAGCTCCATTCTTGTGATCAGGTTTTTAAATGAATTGCTCTCTAAATGAGCAATTGTATATGGTATGTACATTACAATATTCAGAACAAAGACGTAGTCAAAGGAAACTCCAACTTTTATTTGCATAACTCTTACATGCAGTTCTGCAATGTATAACAGAACATAAAACTACAGTCTTATACTGTCCAGTACAATCAACCAAAATTACAGTATTTTATAAACATTGTACTGTATGAAAAAAAAAAAAGACACTGAGGTTCCTTAAACAAATGTACAGAACTGTATAAAAAAAGAGAAGTTGTAAGTCTGAGCATCAGGTTGTAAGTCTAAATAGCACACCTCAGTCCTAAGTCTGAACAGTTATTAAACAGGTAGGTCATTAAATGAGGAATATCTATACTAATAAAAATAAACAAATCAATGTGTGAACAACATATGTATTTAATAGGCTTGATAATTTTTCCATAAGTATTAATAGGTAGTGTTCTTCACATAGAATATAGACACAACAATCAACATTTGGTCTAAGAAATGTAAAGCCCCAATTATGCCTTTATTTAGAAATACAATAAAAGGAAGTAACATGTAGCATAATATGCCCTAAAGAATGTGGGACGGGGAACTTGGAGGCCTGTGTGACCCTGGGAATTCTTAACTTCTCTAAGCCTCTGTCTCCTCCTCTGTAAAAACAAAACAAGACAGAGAGGAGAACTAGATTTCTTGATTGAAACTGCATTTTAAATAGTTCTATCATGAAAAAACTATATTTTATTATGAGAAATTTTAAGCATAAATATAGAGAATATTATAGTAATCCTCTAAACACTTATTTCTCAAATTTAACAGTCAGAAAGATTTTTTTTAAGTACATTCACCTTTCCTGATTTCTTTATGTTTTTTTGCTGAAAGAGCAAACCTTGGAATTCCTATCACTTCAGCTCTATGTATTTCAGTATTAATCTAAAAATACTAGGAATTCCTTAGTAAATCTAATATCACTGTACAATCATACTTCCCCCGGTTTTCTAAAAAATGTGTTTTATTCAGTTGGTTTATTCAAATTAGGGTTTTTAGTCAATTTTTTATTTAAAAAAATAAAAATGAATATAAACAGAATCCAAATATCTAGCAAAATTTTAAAACTGAAGTCTGAGCATGTTGTTATTACTACCACCCAATCTTTCTTTATCCCAGATTCAATTTAGAAACATTCGAGTTCTGTGAATGTTCCCATCAATGTGAGACTGTAGCTGTTAGATAGTTATTGACTGAAAGGCAGCGGAGGTTGGCAAAAAATTATGTCTATACAGTGTACATCAACTGCTTAGTGTCACTGCATTAGAGGTAAAAATTAGCACTACATTGACGGTAACCAGCCAAGAAACAATGTAGATGAAGACAAGGGATAAGACACAATTGGTCTTGCCATGTGGGAATGGTCTGATGGGCTCAGTAGAATGACTAAACCAGAATGTCAATAAACATAAAAGGCAGTGCCACCTTCTGACACCTGTACATCAAGGTGCACTGCTGATGGAACATTGAAAGAGACTGGGATATGGCCGCTGTTTCTTTATCTACATATTGGCAAGTACAGTTAGGAGGATTTTTCCTTTGGTCTTGTGGTCTGAAATTAACATATGCTTATTCCAGGTTGCAGTAAGCACCTTAATTCGTGCAGTTACTTAGGTTTGAATGCCCAAGCTTACAATATAAATGGGAAGTGAATTTTAAAAAATATGTTTTTTCCATTTTATAAAAAAGAAGAAAATACCAAAAACTGGTACCAAATAGAATATTATCATAGAATAAGCTTTTTATAGAAACAAGTATCATTAATTTTTTAAGATTCTTAATATTTACATTCTTTTTTTAAAAAGAGCTTTAAAGAGAGACACATTTAGTTCTCTGAACAATGAGGACAGGCTCTGAAGGAAGTGGGAAAGGAACTGGTTGCCCTAGAAAAGCCCCTCCTTCCTATTAAGTTTCCCACCTGCTAACAAAACAAGAAGTGGTGGTGGCTAAGAGGAGGGGGATGGTGTCATGACAGGGGTCACTGTAGTGAAAGCATCCACAAGCAGTGACAACTAATGCACAAACCCAGCTGGGAGGGGCCTCAGGTATGGAGGTCTGATCACAAACTTAGCTGTTACCTATGTATTACCAGACACTTCCTAAACCCAAGACCAGCATTGCTTAGATTTCACATTGTGTCTGGTCCTTTTTATTTGGTTGGGGTCTTTGGGCAACAACTTCAGCATAACTCTGTGGACCTCCTATATTTCAAGAAAGCTATATTTATAGATTAAGTGTTGAATTTACATCTTAGCTTCTCCATACATTTTCATGGTATTTAGTGGCCCCCTTTGGTCTATTGATAATATCCTCTCCATCAAGAGAACTCTCTTGAATATATAAGATACTCTACTGACCTAGCTGAATTTCTGGTAAATCATTCCAGACTTCACTGACCTTATGCTAGCCACAAGCCAGAAGAAGGCATAAGTTTCCTTATCTATGAAACATGAACTTGCTCTAGGTAATAGCTAAAGTTCTGAACAGATATAAAATTCCATGATTCTAAGTCAACATTGCATAGCAACTTTGCTCTTTTTTTCCTGGTTAAAGACTTGGCAAGTGTTTTGTTTCCTTATGGACATATTTATTACTTCTGAACCAATATCTAAACATAAGATCATTTTAATCTGGCAGAAAGGATGTGAGACGAACAACAGCACATTTAAAAGTTTTTTAGTCAGTAGCTTACCTTTCTTCATTGTTTTCCATCTGATTAGGAAAAGCAGCAAAGTCTAGCAACAATTTAATGGCGTCAAGGTATCCGTTGTTACAGGACCAGTGCAGAGCCGTTCTTCCCTACAAACATGACCAAAAAGCAAGCAACACCTGGAGCAAGTAAATTTGGACATGTGGCTATTTATGCTAATTCAAAAATATAAGTGATTCTTCCCCAAACCGCTTAATGATCAAAATGGATAATGTAAGTACACTGTGAAGAAACAAGACGGCATCTTCACCAAGTGTTCATAGTGTTAATTATGTTAGGATTGAATACCACTTCTGTAATTTTCCAACCAACAATGCAAAATTTGAATCTAATTATGAGAAAACATAAGACAAAGCAAACTGAGTCAAATTCAGTAAAATAAATGACCTGAATTCTTAAAAATTCCAATGTCACAAGAGATACAATAAAATATGGTGATTCATTGCTAGAGATACACTGAATAATGTGAAGAGTGCCGACAGAAAATGTCACAACTCTAAATCTGTATGCATTCAGTAACATTGCTTCTGAATGTATGAGACAAAATTTGATGAAATTAAAGGGGAGATAGTAAAATCCATACTCATACCAGGAGATTGTAACTTGTTTATATTAGTTGATAGGAAGCACTGACAAAACATACTAAAGATATAGAAGACCTAAACTACACAAATTTAAAGATTTGCCTAAGTAAAATATGTAACATTTATTATATATACTTATTTATTTTATATGTGTAAAACATTATTTACATATAAAACAGTTATATATACACACAAAAACAAATATATGAAATCTATCTAACATCTATTTATCTATCTATCATCTATCCTCTATCTACCAATAATTCTATTCAACATTGTATTGGAGGTTTTAGCTTGTTCAATAAAGTAAGAGAAAGAAATGAAAAGTATATGGGTTGGAAATGAAGAGGATTATTTACAGAGATACACCAAAATACTACACATAAAAACTAATAGAAGGGGCTGGGGATTTAGCTCAGCGGCAAAG